GTGCGATTCGTATGATTTTATGTTGCGCGGTGCTAAAATTCCTAAGAAACCCAATGATGTTTGAAGATTTCGGCGTGCGCGCGCGAAGAAAAAACGAATGTGTCCCACATGGTATTATTTGACAGGGATGATGGCCCTGGCAGGCGCGCAACCTTTGTTGCAGAAGTTCGAAGCACGTGAAAAAGTTGATCGCAAGAGCCCGTTTGACAGCAATGTTGAAAAAGTATTGGGTTTCCTAAGAAATCCGCAAGAGCGCGCGGGGTGAATGTTTGAAACCCTTTTTTTGAAAAACCATTGGGTTTTTCATGTTTTTATGTGAAAATCGCTACGAAGACTAAGGTTTTGGAAGGATTTCGTCTTGCGCGCGCGAATGTGCACTTCGTGACATTTCTTGCAAGGGATTCTTGAAGTTTGATCATGTTAGAACAAGAAATGTCCACTTTGCCTTATTTCTTGCAAGGGAAAACCGATCGTAACAACACAACCGGATCCGGACACCTACGTTTTGCCTGAGACTTCCTCACGAAAATGATGAAAATGTGGCTGCGGCCTAGGCGCGGCAGGGGGGGCGCGCACCAGGGGCCCCAACAATAATTATTCTTTAGAAGAAATAATGTTCAACAACAACAACAACAACAATTACTAGCACGTGGGGACATTCCGTTCTCACCAGTGCCAGGGTTTTCATAGGGGGCGGGCAATACCCCCACTTTGTGGGGGGGCCGGTTCAAGCTCTACCAAATTTCCAAACGACTCTTCGCCACCACCCACACCCAGCTTCCCGCCCTATGACGTTCGGACACTTCACTTCGTGGCATGCGGACGACCGTGGCTACTATTCAGGGCCCCGCGGCCGACGACGACGGCGTGCGCGCGCGAAGAAAAAACGAATGTGTCCCGCATGGTATTATTTGACAGGGATGATGGCCCTGGCAGGTGCGCCCGCAGAAGTTCGAAAAAGTTGCTCGCAAAAGCCCGTTTGACAGAAATGTTTAAAAAGTGTTGGGTTTCCTACGAATCCGCAAGAGCGCGCGGGATGAGATTTTGACAATTTTTTGTTGAAAAACCATTGGTTTTTTGATGTTTTTATGTTAAAATCGCTGCGAACACTAAGGTTTTGGAAGGATTTCGTCTTGCGCGCGCGAATGTCCACTTTACCTTATTTTTTGCAAGGGATTCTTGAAATTTGATTATATTAGAACAAGAAATGTCATTTTCTATTGTTTTTTGCAAGGGAAAGCGGATTACAACAAAACAACCGGATCCTGTACACACCCTCTTTTCTGAGGCTTCCTCACGAAAATGATGAAAATGTAGCTGCGGCCTAGGCGGCGCAGGGGGGGCGCGCACCAGGGGGCCCAACAATAATTATTCTTTAGAATAAATAATGTTCAAAACAACAACAACAACAACAACAACAACAACAACAACAACAACAACAACAACAACAACAACAACAACAACAACAACAACAACAACAACAATTACTAGCACGTGGGGACACTCCGTTCTCACCAGTGCCAGGGTTTTCATAGGAGGCGGGCAATACCCCCACTTTGTGGGGGGGCCGGTTCAAGCTCTACCAAATTTCCAAACGACTCTTCGCCACCACCCACACCCAGCTTCCCGCCCTATGACGTTCGGACACTTCACTTCGTGGCCTGCGGACGACCGTGGCTACTACACTGGCGCATGGGTACAGTGACTTGTTGTGGTAACATTTTCTGGACGCTAGCTTAGTATACGACTTTTCCCCCTGTTCCAACACTGGACACCTGTACTGGTTTTTGGTGGTAACGTGTTCCTGACGCTAGAATAGGAAACCACGGTAAACCAGTACGACGCCGGTACTGTCTGTAGGTCCTACAATGATATGGACTGCTTTGGCTGGTGAGGCGCTAGCGAGCTCATGTAACATAAATGTTGGAAAACCATTGGTTTTTTTTAGGATTCGGACAGCGCGCGCGGATAGAAATTTTGAAAAGTCGTGCAGGTGTTTTTCGAGGACCTACGGTGCGATTCGTGTGATTTTATGATGCGCGGTGCTAAAATTCTTAAGAAGCCCAATGGTTTTTGGAGATTTCGGCGTGCGCGCGCGAAGAAAAAACGAATGTGTCCCGCATGGTATTATTTGACAGGGATGATGGCCCTGGCAGGTGCGCAACCGTTGTCGCAGAAGTTCGAAAAAGTTGCTCGCAAAAGCCCGTTTGACAGAAATGTTTAAAAAGTGTTGGGTTTCCTACGAATCCGCAAGAGCGCGCGGGATGAGATTTTGACATTTTTTGTTGAAAAACCATTGGTTTTTTGATGTTTTTATGTTAAAATCGCTGCGAACACTAAGGTTTTGGAAGGATTTCGTCTTGCGCGCGCGAATGTCCACTTTACCTTATTTTTTGCAAGGGATTCTTGAAATTTGATTATATTAGAACAAGAAATGTCATTTTCTATTGTTTTTTGCAAGGGAAAGCGGATTACAACAAAACAACCGGATCCTGTACACACCCTCTTTTCTGAGGCTTCCTCACGAAAATGATGAAAATGTAGCTGCGGCCTAGGCGGCGCAGGGGGGGGCGCGCACCAGGGGGCCCAACAATAATTATTCTTTAGAATAAATAATGTTCAACAACAACAGCAACAACAACAACAAGGGGGGAACAAGCAACAAGCGGGAAAAAACGGTGTCGTCTGCGCCGACATCGGCGCGCAGGCTGCTTGCGTGAGGTCCGGCGTGGGCCCCCTCGCTCCCGGCGCAGCGCACCGCGCGGGCGGCCCGCGCAGGCCGCCGCCGAAGCGGTCGCCGTGCCGCCTCGCGAGAGACCCGTTGGTGATCCTCGCTGACGTCGCTCGGACTCCTTGGGCCTCCCCGCGGCGGCGCCCTGGGCCTCGCCGGGGCACCGCGGAGGGGGGGGGGGGGCCGGGGGCCGGCTCCCTGCCCCCCAGGAAGTCACCACCCACCAAACCACCCCAACCCAACCCGAAGGCCCAAATTTATCCTCGATTTCCAGTGGGGGGGGGGTCTGGGAACATTGAAAAAACACATGGAACCCGTACCCCCCCCCCAACCCGAAATTCGGGTCAAATTCGGGTCTTCGGGTTGGGTTGGGGTGGTCTGGTAGGTAGTCAGGAAGGCGCTGCAGCTGGCGCCAGCGGAACGATCGGGGGTGGACAGACCTCCTACCCTGACACGCCGATTCAGGAATTGGCCGTTTTCGCTTCGCGAGAGGGCGTCGCGGCCGTCATTTTTGCGGGTCCAGTTCCGTCGGTTTCGGTCCCAGGCCGTGTTCACTAAGGGGAGGTCTACTACAGGGAGGTTTGTCCACCGCCGAAACGACGACAACAACAAAAAAAGAGTTCCCCTGCGCCGACCTTCGCGCGTAAGCTGCTCGCGCAAGGTCGCGGGCAGGTCGCCATGGGCCATAGGGGAAGCGGGTCCTGGGGGAAACGGGCCCCGAGGCTTTTCGCCTGCTTCGGGCCCTGGGGGCCCTCGACGGGCCCCGGGAGTGTCAGAGAACGACTCCGGATGGAAAACTCGCCCTGGGGGAAGGCGCCAGGGTCCAGGACCCGTTTCCCTCAAGACCCGCTTCCCCCGTGCTAAGTAAGCGCTCTCGTCTCCAAGGTGGCGTGCCGCGCCGGCGGCCCGCGTAAGCCACCGCGTAAGGCCGCTGTGCCATCTCGCGTGAGATCCTTGTCTTTTCGTCGCTCAACTGGCTGCCAGCTACGGCGCAATGGGGCGGACAAATCGTGCCCCCCCTTGTGTCTCGAATGCCCCGAACTGGACTAACAAGGACTCGAGCAGTCAAGCCTACATGCCTAACGCAGTGTTTGGCGACACGCCGGGTTGCACCCAGGATGGGCCTGCTCAGACGCGACCAGGGGGACCAGAGTTGGGGCGGCCCGAAGGAGTAGCATACCCCTCTCTCAATCGTCCTGCTTTAGCATTCAGGGGAAAGGTCAGCCGCCGGCACGAGTGGCTTCAGTATTTTACCTGAGCCATGCTTCTTGTGGTTTGTGTAGATTTCGCACCCGATTGAGATTAGGTGTGGTGTGAACGGAGTTTGGACCTCCGTATTACAGACCTTACCTAGGTCAGCCACGGGTTCATCTTCCGTGAGACATCCGCACCTAAGACAGACGACAGTGATATTTGGCGGGAAAGGCTTGGAGAAAACCGCGTCGAAGCGGCGGTTCTCGCCTGCACACGCGCTCCAGGCCTCCCAGATGGGGCCCGAGCAGATGGGGTCGAAGGATCGTGTCGCATCGCCGATGCCTCGGTGGGGAGGCGCGATGTGGAACCCGCTTTTCTCTACGCCGACGTCGCTGATGCATCGCCGACGTCGCGGGTGCATCGCCGATGCATCGGCAGAGAAGGAGGAGGAGGAGGAGGAGGGGAGGAGGAGAGGAGGAGGAGGAGGGAGGAGGAGGAGGAGGAGGAGGGAGGAGAGGGAGGAGAGGAGGAGGAGGAGGAGGAGGAGGGAGGAGGAGGAGGAGGAGAGGAGGAGGAGGAGGGAGGAGGAAGGAGGAGGAGGGAGGGAGGAGGAGGAGGAGGAGGAGGAGGAGGAGGAGAGAGGAGGAGGAGGAGGAGGAGGAGAGAGGAGGAGGAGGGGGGAGGAGGAGAGGAGGAGGAGGAGGAGGAGGAGGAGGAGGAGGAGGAGGAGGAGGAGGAGGAAGTACATTCGCGATTCGGCGCGATCCTCCGACCTCATCTCGTCGGGCCCCACCCGGGAGGCCTCTGCGCGCCTGCCGGCGGAGCAGCCACCCAAGCTCGGGGGGAGGAGGAGCAGCAGCAGCCGCAGCGGCAGCTGACTCGGGCCGTCCGTGCCGAGGTGGCGAGGCAGGCGTCATGACTGCGTCCCCTCCCCCCAGCCTTCCTATCCTCCTCCTCCTCCTCCTCCTCCTCCTCCTCCTCCTCCTCCCCTTTTCTCCTCCTCCTCCTCCCCCCTCCTCCTCCTCCTCCTCCTCCTCCTCTCCTCCTCCTCCTCCTCCTCCTCCTCCTCCTCCTCCCCCCCACTCTCCCCTTCCTCCTCCTGCTCCTCCTCCCCTGTTCTTCTGTTCCTGCTCCTCCTTTTCGTTCCCTTTTCCCCATTGCCCCTCTCACTCCTCCTGTTCCCCTGTCCTCCCTCCCTCCCCCTCTCCTTCTTCCGCCTGTGGCGGAGGCGAGAAAGGCGAGGTGGGAGGAGGATCCTTCTCCTCCTCCGCCGCCTCCTCCGCTCTCTCTCCCGCGAAGCCCCCCGAGTGCCCCCCCCGGGCACTCGCGGGGCCCTGCCGCGCCACTCCCGTCCTCCGTGGTCGCCAGCCGCATGCTTCTGCAGGGCGGGGCCAGGCCGGTCAGCCATGTTTGTTTGTGTCTTGTTGTTATGTCTTTATCTTCTTCTTCAGCTTATGATTTTCTCTCTTTCTCTTTCTCTTTCTCCTTCTGTGTAGATGTATGTAGTCGACATGTACACAGATCTTCGACCTCCATAGCGATTGGCACCTCTGAGCGACTTGATGTGCTCGGTGACCACTGCTCTGGTAAACAAGGCCCTGTCACCACTGTGGCCTCTGGTGCTCCTGCCTTTGTTTATGCTGCTGCCACCGATTCCAACCCGAAGCGACGGCTGCGACTGCTATTGCTACTCATGCTTCGGTTATTGGGTAACTAGCAGTGCCACGGCAATTCCCGCCACCACCACTACGTCCTACTTCTCTTGCACATCGCCGTCGTTGTCGACGTCTTGGCCCTTCACAGCGTCCTCGTCGTCCTCGTTCTCGTCATTGTCAACCTTTTCGTCCTTTTCGTCGTCGTCCTCGCTGTCGCCGTCGCTTCTTCGAGAGGCATCTTCGCCATGCGGAAGGACTGGTTCTTGCACCTGGACTTGTTTGATGAGGCTCTTTGGCCGGCGCGGCCGGATGTTGCGGAGTGCCCTCGCTGGGGGTGGGAGTGGGAGTCACACTCGGCGAGGGTGGTAGCCGGACCGCTGTCGCGTGGGAGCTCAACGCAAAGTTGCGTGCAGGCGGTGGGGGTGCCCAATGGTGGCGATATCAGGCACCCGACTTGTTCAACGTCGTCATACTCGGAGACGTCGATTCAGAGAGCATTGGCGGTAGTGTACGAGTGTGCGCTTGCCAGCGTGCCTTGGGCCCTTCGGCTTGTGGCTTCTGTCGTTCTGTCGGGTGCCCAGCGCGCTGAAGTTGCCAGTGGTGCGTGCTGCGCCGTCTGTGGTGAGGGGTCGGAGGCGTCGGTGGCATTCTATGCACGCCGATCCATCTGCGGTGTGCGTCGCACGGTGTGCCATGGAGCAAGCCCACGTGTGGGCCTGGCCCGAGGCCAGAGTCCCCTGTGGTGCACGCCTTGGTGTCAGGGACCGCCCAAGCGTTGCTGCTGGTCCGCTGGTGCCGCGCTGCCTGCTGGGTGTCTGCTCGTGGCGCACGCAGCCCGTGGCCCTGGCTCAGGCCGCCTGGCTCCAGAGAGGCTGGGCCCGCTGCCTGCACCCTCCTTTGTGCTGTCGACCGGGACCCGGCGCGCCCCTCGGAGCGGCCATGTCCCCCCCGTGTCTGAAGTGCGACCCGAAGCTCTTCGAGAAGGACCTTACGGGGCAGGTGAGCGACACAGGAGAACGGGTTCGACTGTACCGCCATCCGCGCGTGAGCTCCCCGCGGGAAGTCGCGCGCAAAGCGCCCTCTTCTTCACGTGGTGTGCCACGCTGGCGGCCCGCGTAAGCGGCGGCGTGAGGTCGCTATGCCACCTCGCGTTGGACCCGTTTCTTTTCGTCGCTCAGGTGGTGATCGTCACGGGGGGGAACCAGGGTATCGGTTACGTGACGGCACGGCAGCTGGCCAGCCAGGGCGCCAAGGTGGTCCTCGCGTGCCGCAGCAAGGAGAGGGGCGAGAGGGCGGCGGGCGAGGTCAAAGCAGCCTTCATGCCCCTCGAGCTCAGCAGCCAGGCCTCGGTCCGGAGCTTCGCCTCCGCGTTCCTGGAGAAGTACGGCCGCCTCGACATCTTGGTCAACAACGCGGGTGTGATGGCCTGCCCGCTCGAGCGCACGGAGGAGGGCTACGAGATGCAGCTGGCCACCAACCACCTCGGCCACTTCCTGCTCACTGTGCTGCTCAAGAGTGTGCTGGAGCAGTGCAAGGGGCGCGTCGTCGCCCTGTCCTCGGCCGCCGCGTCGCAGATGTCAATGGGGACGATGCCCTTCGGGCACGCGGACATCCACTGGGATGACATACATGCAGTTCGCCAAGACCAAGTACATCCCATTTCAGGCGTACGCCCAGTCGAAGCTCTGCAACGTCCTCATGTGCCAGGAGATCCCGAAGCGCTTCTCTGGAGTGCTGGCGGTAAGTGTTCACCCTGGCTGGACGGACACCGAGCTCATGAAGCACACCGGGAACTCATGCCTGCGGTGCCTGCTCCGCTGCTTCTTGAAGAAGAAGGACGGCGCTGGAGACTTGCTCGATCTGGAGGCGGGCGCCCAGACGACACTGCACTGCGCCCTGTCGTCCCCAGAGGACCTCGAGAACGGGGCGTTCTACTCGCAAAAGGGCATCTACACGGACAAGGCGGCGCAGGCAGGTGGGTGGCCAATGCCGCTGCCCAACCCGAACGTCACGGCGCAGTATCCCGCCAAGCTGTGGGACGAGAGCCTGCGATTGTGCGGGCTAGGTCCCTGGATCTGGAACTCTTAGAGCGCGCGGCCGCTCTCGAGAGGGCCTTGCCCAGGACGCCTCTCCCGCCTTTTCGGCTTCAGACTCGGGTTCAGTTCAGGACGCTTCTGTTGGGCGAATTTTCCCGATCCTCCCAGCAGTCCAGGACGGCCCAGATGATTCCAACGTGGCCCAAGAGGAGCTCAAGACGGCAAACACACAGCCCAAGAGGCCTCCAAGAGGGCCCGAGAGCTCGGAGAGACGTCCCGAGAGAGCCCAACAGGCCCTCAATGAGTTGCATTGATTTGTTCGATGTTTTTTCGTTTTCTCGCGTTCTCAAGCTTCCAATGCTCGAAGACCGCAGGAGACGCCCCCAAGACCGCCCCAAGACCGCCGAATAAGCACCCAACAGAGCCCCAAGACGGCCCCAGCGAGTTTGAAAATTGCCAAGGAGGAGCCCCAGACGGCCCAAGAGAGCCCCAGGACAGGCCCAAGCTGGGCCACAGAGCGGGAGCGGGAGGCCCCAAGGCGCTCCAAGACGGCCCAGACGGCCCGGGCCTCCCCCCTCCGCCCCTCCTTCCCTCCCGCCCCCTCCCCTTGCCTCCATTCCCTCCTTTCTCTTCTTCCTCCCCTCACCCCTCAGCTTTTGTGTTCCTCCCCCCTCTCCTGGGACGGCCCCGCCAGAGCGCCAGACAGGCCCCGCCAGAGCGAGCGGGGCATCGCTATACCCTATCATTTCACAAGTTGTTTTGCCCCTCCCACCCCTCAAGCCTCAAGGGCGGCCCTGGCAGAGCGAGAGGGGTGTTGCTACACCAGATACAGTCCCTGTTCAGTGTTGCTCCTCCCGCCGCACCCGGTAGCCCCGTCAGAGCGCACGGGGTGTGGTTATACCATAAGTTTCCTCCGGTTTCGTGCTCATCCCTCCCCTCCTGGGCAATCCCCGCCAGAGCGCCAGGGAAACCCCCGCCAGAGAGAGCAGGGCATCCCTACACCATACTTTTTAACGCGATCCTTGCTCCTCCCGCCCTTGCAGGGCGGACCCGCCTGAGCGAGCGGGGTGCGGCCGTATTGTACAAGTTATCAGGTTTCGTGCCCCTCCCCCACCTCCTGAAAGGCCGCGCCAGAGCGCCAAGAAGGTACCACCAGAGGCCCCGTCAGAGCTCCAGGCAGCACCATACATGGGATCTGCCAGGCAAATCGTTGAGCATCCCTCGTGAGCCCGAACCTTGTGGTCCCACGGGTGCGATTATCGCCGGCATGAGGTTTGGCGCCCAGCACAAAGAAGCTTCCCCACTCCCGGGGACGGACTCGGCAACAACTGATTGCAGAGAAGGGCACCGATGACTAGGACATCTGCGCGCGCCTTCTGCAGATACCCGACAGCTGAACGACCGCTGAAAACGAGAAGCCTGGAACACAAGGAAGAGGAAACAAACAACGCGCTTCCACGCGCGCGCAACGAGGCCCCGAGCCAAACCCAACATCAGGAGCCGGCGGATGTCTGCGTGATCGGGCAGGGGGAGACCGAGCAAATGCGCAAAAGCATTGAGTGTCACGACGGGGCAGAGCAGAAGTGAAAGTGGAGAAAAAAACGCAGTCTGATAAACCAAACAAGGGCGGCAGCGAGATTGTGAGATGAGCGGAAACGTGGCGCCCCGCGTCCTGACTACGCGCTTCTTCGCGTCGATGGCATGGGCCCGAGAAGGCTGGAAATCGTTGTTGTGGCCACGGCGGGGCTTACAGCGGCACCCGTGGCTCATCTGCGACTAGAACGTACGCGCGCGTGGTTCTAGGGCACTCGGCGGGGGGGTCTGGGAGGGGGTCCCTGGCGCTCCATGGGGGCACGGGGCCGCGAGGGACGCCCCCTGACGGCCCAAGACAACCCGAAAACACATGAAAACGGCCCCAAGAGGTCTCCAAGATGCCTTCAATCGCGGAAGTTTAGATCTTACACGCCCAAGATGGCCTCCAGATGGCCCACAGGCCTTCCAACACGGCCCGAGGGGTCCCCACAAGCATTCCCCCAAGAAACTAACATCAATGATTTCCCTTAGGTTCTGGGTACATTTCCGCGCATCTGCCTTTTCAGGCTGTACATTTTGGCTCCGCGTCGCCATGGCTGCCCCGGGCATCCGGGAGCCGTTCGGGGGGGCGCCTTGCCAGCTGCCCCGCGTCGCCATGGATGCCCCAGGCCTCCGGGAGCCGTCCCGGAGAAGCCCAAAGCAGCCCCCGCTCACCACAATAGCGACCCACGGCGCCCGAGACAGCCTCAAGACAGCTCAGGATGCCTCCAAGACGCCCAAGAAGCTTCCGAATCTCGTGCATGTCTTAAGGTTTGTTTCATATACTTTCTTAGCGCTTGTTCAGCTCTGGTGCAATCCGAAACGGCCCCAGACGCCCTCGAGTTCGCTGTAAGATGGCCCAGGAACCTTCCAACACGGCCCAACAACAGGCCCAGAGGGTCCCAGACCTCCCACGAAGACGCCATTCATCCCCTCAGACTTATCCAAATCGATCCAGGGAGCCCCTGCTTGCCAAAATAGCGACCCAAGACGCCCAAGACCGCCTCCAGACAGCCCAGGATGCCTCCAAGACGCCCCACGAAGCCGCCGAAGACCTGCCCAAGAGTGCGCCCAGGGCAGTAATACCTGCATTCACCAGGGTTTTCGGTTTTCTACCCTCCGGCGTATTCCAGAACGGCCCCAGACGCCTCACATTTCGCTCCGAGACGGCCCAGGACGCGCTAACATGGCCCGACGAGAGCCCCAGATAGCCTCCATAGGGCCCCCCAAAAGCCCCAGATGGCCTTACAGAGGTCCCCCCCCTAACCGACATGACGGCCCAGGACAGCCGAACAGCTCCCTGCAACCTTCCCGAACAGGCCACCCACGGGTGCCCCCGAGTCGCCCGAACAGCCCCCCGCAACCTTCCCAAGCGCGCCGGAAGACGGCCGACGAGGGCCCCGAGGCAACCCCCGAGGACCCCGCGACTGCCCAAGAGGGCACCGCGAGGCTTCCCAGACAGCTCCCACGGGCCCCCCCTCTGAAAACCCACCTACGCCCAGGGCCTCCCTGTGACGGCCCAGAACAGTTCCATGATGGACGAAAAGGAGTTCGACCATGCTGGCGACGACGAAGACGATGCTATAATGCTATGATGATGATGACGATGATGATGATGATGATGATGATGATGATGATGATGATGATGATGATGATGATGGTGGTGGTGATGATGATGATGATGACGATGACGATGACGATGACGATGACGATGACGATGACGATGATGATCGTGCTTGTGATGCTGATGACGATTATTACGGTGATGGTGATGATGATGATGCTCATGATGACGAGGATGACGGTGGTGGTGATGATTATGATGATGATGCCGATGATGATGCTGATGATGATATTGATGGTGATGATGGTGGTGATGGCGATGATGATTATGATGATGATGTCGATGATGATGCTGATGATGATGATGATGATGATGATATTGACGGTGATGATGGTGGTGGTGGCGATGATGATTATGATGATGATGATGATGATGATGATGGTGTGATGATGATGATGATGATGATGATGATGATGATGATGATGATGATGATGATGATGCTGATGATGATGATGATGATGATGATGATGACGATGACGATGATGATGATGATGATGATGATGATGATGATGATGATGATGATGATGATAGACATGCCATGCCCGCCAGCCTCCATTCAACATGTTCGGAAACGCTTCTCCAGAGCATGTAAACTGACGATGACGCTGACAATGGCGATGGGGATGACGACGAGTATGATGATGAGGATTATGATGACAACGGCTATCACGACCAGCTGTGTACGGCATAGCGTGTCGCCAGGGCGGCCGCCGCGACACGCTGAGCAAAAGTTCACGATCGTACTCCAGAATCCTCAGAGACCATCCTGAGCCAATCGCAACCGGACGCCATTCTCACTCAACACCTCCCCACCCACTCTGTCAGGCCAGACGTACCCAACCATCGCATCCATTTGCGGCCCCTGTATCCACTTCGCAAACCCCACGGTGACCCAAGTACTATGGCATGGGATACGACGTTGCGAACAAGTTCCAGCAGCGCACAAAATCACCACCAGAGCCCGAGACCACATCTTTCCGCGGCATCTTTCCAGCCAGATCGATCTCGGAGTAGGCCAAGGGCAGGCAAGGGACCACGGCCCCGCCGTGGCATGTGAGGTCCCGGGGCCCTACGAGCACCCTCGTCGCCTCCATAGTGGCCCCGTGGGCGCACAGATCACCAACAAAAATTGTACAATAGTCTACCGAACCGGTCCAGCACACCCCGAGAGCGCCGAAGATGCCTTGTGAACGGTAACGGCCCCCGAAGGCTCCAGTCTGCGCGAACGGCCTCCGGCAGGCTTCAGTGGGCTCCCGAGGCCCCGCAAATCCTTAACGTCGTTCGAGTTGTTAAAATGTTTTGGAGTTTTTTTTTTTGAGTTTCAGACAGTCGCAAACGGCGCAAGAGGCCCACAAGGCCGCCCCAAGACGGGCCAAGAGGCCCCCAAGAGAGCCCCAGATCGGCCCAACAGGGCCCAGGGGCGCTGACGACTGCCCAAGAGGGCCCAAAGACGGCCCCAGAGAGGGCTCAAGAGGGGGAACATGAACCGAAAATTCGAGTCTTCGGCCCAAGAGGCCCCCAGGAGGCCCCAAAAGGGCCTCGAGTGGCTCCCACGAGGCCTTAGCAGGCTCCCCAAAGGCCCCCACGACGCCCCAGAAGGCGCCAAAACAGCCCCCAAGAGGCCCAACAACGGTTCCCAAGAGGCCCCCGCGATGCCTCAAGAAGAGCCGTGAGCCCCCCAAGACCCCCCAAGAGCAATTTTGGCCCAAGTGCTTCGGTCCAAGCCGTGGAACTTGCCATACGTCTGGTTCTTCACGTTCGTGCCAAGCACGTCAGCTGACACGTCGCTAGAACCTAAGACAGCGTCAGATAGCCTCAAGACGCTCAAAGAGGGTGGCTCCAGGCGGCCCAGCGCTCCCAAAATTCGCCCAAGAGGCCCCAACAAGCCCCAGGATGCCACGCTCAAGACAGCCCCAAAGGGCCCCAGGAAGCTCTCTAGGAGATCACCGACAAGCTAATTTCCCTGGCGACGTACCCAACCCCTGCGCAATGCGGGGCACGAGTAGCCTAGGACACGTTATACAAAGGTGATGAGGTGAGATGGGCGCCTATAATTCTGCGAGCGTCATTCGTGAGGCTCGCAGCCCCCCAGGGATAGCGAGATCTTGCTCAGATCTGCGCGGTGCCTCACTCCGCTGGATCCGCCAGCAGCTTTCGAAACTGGCGACAGTTTCGCAGATCGCAGCCCCCAACGGACGGCGAGGTCCTGCTCAGATCTGCACCGTGCCTCACTCCGCTGGACCCACCAGCAGCCCTCAAAAGTGGCCACAGTTTCGCAGATCGCAGCCCCCCCAGGGACGGCGAGGTATCGCTCAGATCCGCGCGGTGCCTCGCTCCGCTGGGCCCACCAGCAGCCCTCGAAAGTGGCGACAGGGACCGCGAGGTCTCGCTCAGATCCGCGCGGTGCCTCACTCCACTGGACCCACCAGCAGCCCTCGAAAATGGTGACAGTTTCGCAGATTGCATTCCCCCAGGGACGGCGAGGTCTCGCTCAATCTGCGCGGCGCCTCGTTCCGCTGGAAAGTGGCGACAGTTTCGCAGATCGCAGCCCCCCCCAGGGACGGCGAGGTCTCGCTCAGATCTGCGCAGTGCCTCACTCCGCTGGACCCACCAGCAGCCCTCGAAAGTGGCGGCAGTTTCGCAGATCGCAGCCCTCCCCCCCAGGGACGGCGGGGTTTCGCTCAGATCTGCGCGGTGCCTCACTCCGCTGCTGGACCCACCAGCAGCCTTCGAAAGTGGCGACAGTTTCGCAGATCGCAGCCCCCAGGACGGCGAGGTCTCGCTCAGATCTGCGCAGTGCCTCACTCCGCTGGACCCACCAGCAGCCTTCAAAAGTGGCCACAGTTTCGCAGATCGCAGCCCTCCCCCCCAGGGACGGCGAGGTCTCGCTCAGATCTGCGCGGTGCCTCACTCCGCTGGGCCCACCAGCAGCCCTCGAAAGTGGCGACAGTTTAGCAGATCGCAGCCCCCCCCAGGGACGGCGAGATCTCGTGGGAGACAGGAGGCGGGAGGGAGGAGGCGGGAGGAGGAGGAGGGACGCGACCACAGTGCTCTATTCAAAACGAATACCCAACCAATGAGGGTTGGGAACAATATTTACACACCCACAGGGACCCAGTGATTTTTACATTGTTGCCTGTTCGCCTCCGATGGTCTGCTGAGGCCCCCAGATCGCCCAAACGCGGCCCCTCGATGCCCCACAAAGCGAGCAACAGGCCCCGTGAAGCTCCAACACGCCCTCAACGGGGACCCGAAACCGCTCCCGAGAGGTGCCGAACATCCATCAAGGCTTCCCTCCTGGGCTTCCAAGAGCGCTCCAGAAGGACTTCAAGATGTCCCGGGACGCTTCCGACACACGCAAGAGAGCTCTAAGACAGCCCACGAGAGCTTCCAGACGGCCCGCACCAGCCCCCAAGAGAGCACCAAGAGATCTCCCAGAGGTCCCCAAGACCGCCGACGAAAGCGCCAAGGATTTCCAAACACCTAAGAAGCAAACCTATGCCTTTTTTCATTCCGCTTTTTTGCCTCTGGTACCCTTCAGGGGCTGACGCATGACCCCCGCGAGGACGCCAAGATGCCCTCCAAAGGCGCCCCAAGCAGCCCCATGAGATCACAAGAGGCTCCCATGACGCCCGAAGAGGCACTGAGGGTGGATCGTTCAAGCGAAAAGACGCTCGTTCGAGCGAAAAGGTAATCCGTTCAAGCGAAAACCAATCGAGCGAAAACCAATCCAATCGGGTTTGGACAGAGCAGCAGAGAGCACAGAGCAGCAGAAAGCACAGAGCAGCAGAAAACACAGAGCAGCAGAGAGCACAGAGCAGCAGAAAGCACAGAGCAGCAGAGAGCACAGAGCAGCAGAAAGCACAGAGCAGCAGAAAGCACAGAGCAGCAGAGAGCACAGAGCAGCAGAGAACACAGAGCAGCAGAGAGCAGAGAGCACAGAGCAGCACAGAGCAGCAGAGAGCAGAGAGCACAGAGCAGCAGAGAACACAGAGCAGCAGAGAGCACAGAGCAGCAGAGAGCACAGATCAGCAGAGAGCACAGAGCAGCAGAGAGCACAGAGCAGCAGAGAGCACAGAGCAGCAGAGAGCACAGAGCAGCAGAGAGCACAGAGCAGCAGAGAGCACAGAGCAGCACAGAGCACAGAGCAGCAGAGCAGCACAGAGCAGCAGAGAGCACAGAGAGCACAGAGCAGCACAGAGCAGCAGAGAGCACAGAGCAGCAGAGGGCACAGAGCAGCAGAGAGCACAGAGCAGCATCTGGGCATCCAAAATCATGGTTCCCGCCATCCTCTGGGCCGCCGTGGGTCCCTGGGGCGCCAGACAGAGCCGGGAACCGGGATTTCGGGTTTTTCCAGCCTCGATCTCTCCAAAATCATGTTCCCGCCATCCTCTGGGCCGCCGTGGGTCCCTGGGGCGCCAGACAGATCCGGGAACCGGAAATTTGAGCTTTTCCAGCCTCGATCTCTCCAAAATCATGGTTCCCGCCATCTTCTGGGCCGCCGTGAGTCCCAGGAGCGCCAGACAGAGCCGGGAACCGGGATTTCGGGCTTTTCCAGCCTCGGTCTCTCCAAAATCATGGTTCCCGCCATCTTCTGGGCTGCCGTGAGTCCCTGGGGCGCCAGACAGAGCCGGGAACCTGGAATTTGAGCTTTTCCAGCCTCGATCTCTCCAAAATCATGGTTCCCGCCATCCTCTGGGCCGCCGTGAGTCCCTGGGGCGCCAGACAGAGCCGGGAACTGGGATTTCGGGTTTTCCAGCTTCGATCTCTCCAAAATCATGGTTCCCGCCATCTTCTGGGCTGCCGTGAGTCCCTGGGGCGCCAGACAGAGCCGGGAACCGGGATTTCAGGCTTTTCCAGCCTCGATCTCTCCAAAATCATGGTTCCCGCCATCCTCTGGGCTGCCGTGGGTCCCTGGGGCGCCAGACAGAGCCGGGAACCTGGAATTTGAGCTTTTCCAGCCTCGATCTCACCAAAATCATGGTTCCCGCCCTCCTCTGGGCCGCCGTGGGCCCCTGGCATCGACGCCGCCTTGCGCCGAGGTGGCGGTGGCCGCCGCGGCGGCCGCCGCGTTGCAAAATCCTGGTTCCCGGCAGCCGCGGGAGCGCCAGGAACCGGCGCGCACCTTTTCGCGCGCGCGCGCCCAGCGAATTTCTTTCGAACGGCCGCAGTTTTCGCGCGAATCGTTTTCGTGCGGACGGCGGACCCTCGCACTGAGGCACTCTCGATGCACCAAAAAGGCGTTCAAGAGCTTCCGACGAGCCCCCAGGAGGCGCTGACGAAGGCCTCAGAAAGATTTTCAAGATTTCGGCGTTCTCGCTTTTCTGAGCTCCCGACGGCTCAAGATGCCCACACACGGCCCCCAACCGGCCCCAGTGACCCCGAAGAGAGCCCAAAGACGGCCCCAGAGGACCCCTCCACGGCCCAAGAGGCCCCGCGAAAGGGCCCAAGACGCCCCCAGGCGAGCCCCAGGAGCGGCAGCACAGACGCCGACACCGCCAGCCACGCCCCAAGAAGCTTCCAAGAGGCCCCTAGGGCGTCCAGCTGCCCCCTAGCAGTGCCCCAAGACGGCCCCGAAAGGGCCCTTGACGGCCCAGGAGGCACCCCAAGATAGCACCAATACGGCCATAGATGCCCCCAAAGAGTCTGCACAATTCTGCGAATTCTCTCCTCGCTTCTCGCGGCATTGCGCCTCCGCTGCCTTCTCATCATCGCCATTTGCTGTAATGAGTTGGTGCGTAATTAGCTTTGCTGCACTGGCTGTGAGGGCAGAGCGGCATGCACCCGCAAATAGCAGGGGACACCAATCCCGCCCGCTGCGTCTCCATGCTGCGAGGCGCGTAGCTTTGCAGAAATGCGAGTGACAGTGGGATAAACCCGCAAATAATACGCGGTGCTTTTCGCACTGCAGACGTTGGTTGCTGCATGGTGCTCCAACTCAAAAAAATGGCCGGCGTAATAAAAGCCAAGACGTCGCCAACGTTGCCTAAAAGGGCCTCAGGGCAGCCCGAGAGGGCCCCAGGATGCCTCCAAGATGGTACTAGGGGGTCCCACGAGGATACCCTGGCGACCAACATCAGTCAAACTATGTGGCAGTTTTATGTATACTCCTTATTTTATTTCTTTCCGTTCATGATGATTCCAAGAGGGCTGAGTGGGACTGAGGCGCCCGAACGGACCCCAAGATGGTCCCAAAAGAGCTCCACCACGGACCAGGCTCAAGGGAGCTTTCGCAGGGGCCAAAGGCGGGCCGAGAAGGCTCCAAGACGCCCCAAGATGGTCTCAAGACTGCCCCAAGAGGGTTCCTAGAGGACTTTTCCGCGACTCCCATTGAGCTCGTCGTCAAGTCTTTGAAGTCACACAAATGTGCAAACGCTGTATTCTTAGCTGCGTGAAGCGAGAATTTCTTATGCCCCAGCGCCTTACGATGCTTCGAGTGACATGAACTTTTGTGGCTGACGCCAATAAGACCAGCCAGCCACCCGCGGGGCCACGGAATGTTTGAGGCGAGGGGTGTCCCCAAATGGGCGGAGGGGCGCTATGCGGCACCTTGCCAGTGAGGCATTCGGTGGAGCGAGGACATGTGGCCACCAGAAATACAACGCGCGCGAGGAACTCTACGAGGCTTCCGGCGGTGAACAGGTTCACGGCTCACCGCTTGCATCCAGTTGCTTCGAATTTGGGGTTTTGGTGCCGGGCCGCGATGATTTTGCGATCGATGCAGATGGGATGGCCGCGCTCTTGATGGCGCGAGCATTCGGAGGCCGAAAAAATAAGCTGTTAAATTCGATGTTCCATGGTCTGTTAGTAAGGTGCCCCCTTCTGAGGCCCCTGTTGTTACGAAGCTCGTGAGGGGTCGTCAGGATGCTCTTGCGCGGCTCTTCAGTGGTCTTCCATGAGGCCTTCGCAGCATGGATGTAGCTCCTGGGGCCAAATTGCCAAATGGGCAGCCATTCGGGGGGGTGGCCATTTGACAGTGCGGCCCCATTGTCAAATAGTTTGTTTGGGGGCCAGGTCTGGGCGGCCCAGTTAGTCCGATTATCGATTCGACAGCGGGGGCGCACTGTCACATGGGCCATTGGGGAGGCAGGCGGAGGCGCGGGAGTTGAGCTCCGATTGCCCATGTGGCAGTGGGGGCCCACTGTCAATGGGGGGGGGGGCGAGTCGCAGGAGTTGAGCTCCGATTGCCCGTGTGACCGTGGGGGGCCACATTCACATGAGCAATCGGGGGGGCGAGGCCGAGGCGGGTGACTTGAGTTCCGATCGCCCAATTGGCAAAGGGAATCCCGCTGTCAAATGGGTCATCGCAGTACCCGATTGTCCATTTTCAATGGGCTCCCCGATGCCAAGCAGTTAATCTGAAGGGCGGTGTGGCCGATTGCCCGTTTGAGAGTGGGGATCCCATGGGCAAACAGGGAAAGTTCGCTCAGTACTTTCCGCTGCAATTGTGCCCCCACCCCCACCCCCACCCCCTGTCCTGGGGGGGATCGTGGGGGCCCGGGAATCTCACACGCCTTGATGACCCCCAAGGGGTCGACGGACCCCGCCGCTGCCCCACAAGCCCGTTGCTATCCTTCAGAAAGCCTGGCAACACGCGCTAAGGGTGGCCTACGATCGGGGCACTTCTGCTTGGGTAAATCGGGCGTGTGGATTCGGGCAAAGCCTACTGACAATGACTGCGGATTCGGCCAGAAACTGAGCGCGCGCGTAGCGCGCGCGTGGGTCTAGTGTGGATGTACTGCTCAACCGCCTGCTGAAACATGCTGGCGCGTGAACGGCTGGAGTGTGAAAGCGGCGTGCGGAGGGCATGCTGCGAACCTGCCTGAGTGCATGAGCGCAGTGCCTCAGCAGTTCGCGAGTGAGGAGAGAGGGAAGAAGTAACAGAGTGGAGTGCCCAGAAGAGGGGGTGGGGGGATGTGGTGCGCTTGACCCTGTGGGGAGCACCACCGTGTGCCTCGAGCGAGGCTTAAAAGGGGGCGGGGGGGAATGGAACTGTTAGTGGCAGGCTTGAGAAGTGAGATTGCCAGGAATCAAGCGTGATGCTCAATATGTACCAGTCGGTCCTTCGACTTGCCCCCCTCGCCGTACTGTACAGGAGCCAGCGATTTTCGTCATCCCTCATGGTCCTTTAGAAGTTTGGGCTGGAGGTGACGTTTTTGTTGCGGTTTACCGAGCACTGCTTCTGCGATGACATGATGCAACAGTGGGTGGGGCAGTCGTCGTGAACACATAAGATGAAAGTCTGTCTGCAATGGTGTGATGTGATGTACAACAAAGTAAGGTGCGGGAATGTGTATTCTAGTCTGGCAGATGCCAGGGCGATGCCTGTCATGCAACACGTGATGCTCGCATGGGGCTGTCAGGTGTTCGCGGGCGCTTCGCTCAGGGAAGTCAGACAGAGATTGCTCGCGACACCATGCACGAAAGAAACGGAGATGGGATTGAGGCGTGCTCGCGGTCGGTTCGCACCTATCGTTTCGAGGCTGTGGGAGGTAGGATGTGGAGCGAGGGGAACACCGATGCGTTAGCTCTTCGCTTGGCAATCGATCCCAAGCGAAGGACCGGAGGTGTCGTGGTAAACGTGCTTAAGCAGACTGGGCATACCACCTCTTCCTCCGCCTCTTCTTTCTCCCCCTCTTCCTCGCCCTCGCTCGTACCCGCAGGGGTGGGCTGGGCCTTCGATTCCAGCGCGCACGCTGTGCGAGAAAAGGCTGTGGTGCACGGCGCCGCGCAGGCGCCCGCGTCCGGGCTGGACTTCCGGAGCCTCGAGACGGGGGTCAATGCAACCAGGGGGTCAGCCAGAGCGCCTGGTCCTGCAGGATGCTGCAGGGCCGGGGTCGCATTGACCCGGGCTTGGATGCAGGATCCTGCAGGATCGTGCAGGGTTCTTCGCCCTGTCCGGGGCTTGGGTGCGCAGGATCTCGCAGGATCTTGCAGGATTCTGCAAGGCCTTACTGGCCTGGGTCTGGATTGACCCGAGTCAGCAGATCCCCGAGGGTTGCAGTGCTTCCAGTGCGCGTGGAATAGGTCTGTTTGTCTCGCTTTGGTCACGGTGGACGTGTATGGGCGGCTGCAGATTCCTCGTCCCTCACTCTCTGCCCTCCTCCTCCTCCTCCTCGTCCTCGTCCTCCTCCTCCTCGCCCTCCTCCTCCTCCTCCCCTCCTCCTCCTCCTCCTCCTCCACCCTCTCCCCCCTCCCCCCTCCTCTTCTCCTCCCCTCCTCCTCCTCCTCCTCCTCCTCCTCCTCCTCCTCCTCCTCCTCCTCCTCCCCTCTTCCTCCTCCTCCTTCTCCTCCGCCTCCTCCTCCCCTCCCTCCCTCCTCCTCCCCCTCCTCGCCTCCCTCTCCTCCTCCACCTTCTCTCCTCCTCCTCCTCCTCTCCTCCTCCTCCTCCTCCTCCTCCTCCTCCTCCTCTCCTCTCCTCTCTCCTCTACTCCTCCTCCTCCCTCCTCCCCCCCTCCTCTTACTCCTCCTCCTCCCTCCTCCTCGTCCTCCTCCCCCTCCCCCCCCTCCTTCCCCTCCTCCTCCCCCTCCTCCTCCTCCTTCTCCTCCTCCTCCTTCTCCTCCTCCTCCTCCGCCTCCATCTCCTCCTCCTCCTCCTCCTCCTCCTCTTCTCCTCCTCTCCATCCACTCCCGCTAGGTCCCTCCTCCTCCTCCCCCTCCCTTCTCCTCCTCCTCCTCCTCCCCTCCTCCTTCTCCTCCTTTCCCGCTAGGTCCCTCCTCCTCCTCCTCCTCCTCCTCCTCCTCCTCCTCCTCCTCCCCCTCCTCCTCCGCCTCTTCTTTCCTCCTCCTCCTCCTCCTCCGCCCCCCCCTCCCTCCTCCTCCACCCTCCTCCCCCCCTCCCTCCTCCTCTTCCTCCTCCTCCTCCTCCTTCTCCTCCTCCTCCTCCTCCTCCTCCTCCTCCTCGTCCCCCTCCCCCTCCTCCTCCTCCTCCTCCCCTCCTTCTCCTCCTCCTCCTCCTCCATCTCCTCCTCCTCCTCCTCCGCCTCCTCCTCCTCCTCCTCCTCATCCCTCTTCCCTCCTCCCCCTCCTCCTCCTCCTCCTCCTCCTCCTCCTCCACCTCTTCCTCCTCCTCCTCCTGCTCCTGCTCCTGCTCCTCCTCCTCCTCCTCCTCCTCCTCCCGAGGAGGAAGAGGAGAGGGAGGGAGGGTCGGCGAACGACGTCTGCCAAGGGCCTGCTGGAGTGGGGCGGCGACCACTTCGAGCTGACGATGAAGGCGACGCGGCCAAGGAGGAATGCTGTCGTGGCGGTGTCGGTGTCGCGGTCGGTGTGGTGGTCTTCGCCGTTGTGGTTGTCGTCGTCGTCGTGGTCGTGGTGGTGGTCGACGTCGCCGTCGCCGCCGCCGCTGTCGCCGTCGTCGTCGTCGTCGTCGTGTTCATCGTCGCGGTCGTCATCGTCGTAGTGGTCGTCGTTGTGGTCGTGGTCGTGGTCGTCGTCGTCGTCGTTGTCGTGGTCGTCGTCGCCGTTTTCGTTTTCGTCGTCGTGGTCGTCGTCGTCGTCGTCGTTGTGGTCGTCATCGTGGTCGTGGTCGTTGTCTTCGCCGCCGCCGTCGACGTCGTTTTCGACATCGCGGTCGTCGTCGTGGTCGTCGTCGTGGACGTGGTCGTCGTCGTCGCCGCCGTCGTCGTCGTCGTCGTCGTTTTCGCCGTCGTGTTCGTCGTCGTGGTCGTGGTCGTCGTCGTGGTGGTCGTCTTCGTCGTTGTCGTTGTGTCGTCGTCGTGGTCATTGTGGTCGTTGTCGTTGTGGTCGTTGTCGTTTTCTTCGTGGTCGTCGTGGTCGTTGTCGTGGTTGTCGTCGTATTCGTCGTAGTCGTCCCTGACGTCATTGCCATTGTCGTAGTCGTCGTCGCGGTCGCCGTCGTGGTCGTCGTCGTCGTCCGACGGCGGAAGGAGATTGTCGTCTTGGTCGCCGCGGTGGCTTCCGCCTGGCATCGAGGAAGGAGGAAGGCCGTTGTCCGAC